TGGAAGAAGAATTGATGTCTTTGAGCTTTGGTGTTGGAGAAGAGTATTGTAGGTACCATAGACTGCTAAGAAAACAAACAGATTCATCCTGGAAAGGGTTAAACCGGGCTGCTCCTTGAAGGCAAGGATTCTGAGGCTTCGTCTGACATACTTTGGTCATGTTGTAAGGAGAGACCGGTCCTTGGAAAGGGACATCATGCTTGGGAGGTTGGAGGACAGGCACAAGAGGGGAAGGCCGTCTAGGAGGTGGATTAATTGGGTGATTGAGGTAATCGGGATGAGTGTATCAGAGACAGTGAGATTGGCACAGGACAAAGCAGAGTTTAGGGCTGTTGTACATAGGGTCGCTATAAGTCGCAGGTGACTCGACAACACATAACAACAACAAACTACAGAAATCGATGAGATACCAATTGACTTGTTCCAGTTAACAGATGCAACCTTGGATGCTTTCACCAATTTATGCCAGGAAATTTGGAGGAGCTGTCTGGCCAACAGATTGGAAGAGGTCCATATTTGTTCCCATTCCGAAGAAAGGTGATTCAATTGAACGTGCAAACTATCAAATAATATCATTAATACCACATGCAAGCAAGACACTGCTAAAGATTGTTTAAAAAATGGCTGGAGCAGGATCTAAATAGGGAACTGCCAGAAGTCCAAGCAGACTTTAGAAGAAGTTGTGGCACCAGGGGTATTATTGCTGATGTCAAGTGAATCCTGGCTGAAAATAAGAAACACCAGGAGAATGTGTATTTGTGCTTTATTGACTATGCAAAGGCATTTGAGTATGTGGATCATAACAAGTTTGTGGCTGACAACGAGGAGATTGGGAATCTCAGAGCACTTGATTGTGCTCAAGTAGAACCTATACTTGGAGCAGGAGGATATTGTGCAAAAAGAGGAAGGGGGCACTGCATGGTTTGGAATTGGGAAGGGAGTGTGTCAGGGTTGTATTCTTGCTTCATACCTATTCAGTCTGTTGTTGTATATCATAGAGTCGGAACCTAACTGACCTTCCTGCCTGTTTTCAGAGGCAGCTAATCATGCAGGGGGAGACTGCCCAAATTCTCTTGTGGAGCAGCTGGCGGCCTCAAACCGCGTGCCTTCAGGATTGCAGCACAGCTTCTTTACCACTAGGCCACCATGCTGAACAAATTATCTAAGAAGCTGGATTCTATGAGGAGGAGTGTGGCATCTGGATTGGGGGGTGACTCATCAATAACCTGCGTTATGCAGATGACACAACCTTATTTGCTGAAAGTGAGGAGGATCTGAAGAAATTATTGCAGAGGATCAAGAAATGCAGCGTTTGGTATGAATTGCATTGCAATGCCGAGAAAACAAGAGTCTTATTGCTGGACCAATAGGCAGCATCATGATGGTGGAAAAGAGATTGAAACTGTCAACAGCTTCATCTTGTTTGGATCCTCAATTAACACCCTTGGTATGAGCAGTCAGGAAATAAGGAGACACATCACAAGGGGAAAATCTGCATTTAGGGACCTTTCCAAATTATTGAGGAGTAGTGATGTCAGTTTGAGGACTAAGGTGCGTCTGATTCAGGTCTTTCTTGGTCTTTCTGATTACTGGCTATGCTTCTGAGAGCTGGACAATGGATAAGGATGATAGAAGAAGAATTAGTGCTTTTGAGCTGTGGTGTTGGCACATGGACGGCCAAGAGATCCAGTAGGTATGTCTTGGAGAGGATGCAGTCTGAGTGCCCTTTGGAGACAAGACTGATGAGGCTTAACCTCACATCCTTTGGACATGTTGCTAGGAGGTGCAATTCCTTGGAGACGCACATGATGTTGAGAAGGGTGGAGGGTCGGCGAGGGACTGGACCAGGTGGATTGACACGGTGACTGCTGCAATGGGCTCTCCTGTGTCAGAATGTGTGAGCATGGCGCGGGATAGAACAGGGTTCAGATGCGTGGTTCCCAGGGTCGCTATTGGTTGTCCATCACTCGCGGACCTCTAAGACACGGTACAGCCAGCCGCCGCAGACTCCGAGCACGCTCTGCCGGCCGCCCGCCCCTTCCTCTCGCGAGACGCCGGCGCCGGAAGTGGCAGGAGCGCGCGGCGGGCGGGAGGCGGCATCCTACGGGGTCGGTCCTGCTCGGTGCGTCTGTGGCAGCTCAGTGCGCGGGTCGTGGGGTCGAGTCCGCTCCGTGCACCGGCGGCAGCTCAGCGCGTGGGCCGCAGGGTCGAGCCTGCCGCGGGGTCGAGCCCGCTCTGTGCATCCGCGGCAGCTCAGCGCCCGGGCCGCGGGGTCGAGCCCGCTCCGTGCACCGGCGGCAGCTCAGCGCGTGGCCGAGGCCGAGGACTCCCCTTGGGCGCCTCGTGCTCCGCGGAGACCCCGCGCCCGGGCGGCCCTCGCTCCCGGTTCGGCCGGCGGCGCCCTGTCCCGCGGAGGCCGCCCCGTGTCCGCCGGTGTCCCTGTAGGGCCGCCCCGATGCTGCGCTTTCCGACCTGTTTCCCATCCTTCCGGGTGGTGGGCGAGAAGCAGCTGCCGCAGGAGATCATTTTCCTGGTCTGGTCTCCCAAGCGGGACCTCATCGCTTTAGCCAACACAGCTGGCGAGGTAAGTGTGCAGGTGGACTGCCCCGGGGGGAGAGGGGGCATGACCTGCCTGCAGCCCCGGGGTGAGGGGCAGGAGGAAAGTTCTCCTGACCCTCACTTTCCCCCAATACACCTGGCGGACCACTTGCGCTGCCCAGCCCCTCCTTCCCGGCATAGCCACTAACTTGTATGTAAAAGTATAAAAAGACCTGGGCTGCCCAAAGATGAATATTTTAAACCCACTCTGGTGCCTCGCAAGAATGGCCTGGCAGTCCACTTATGAGTGATCACAGTCTTGAAAAACCTATGGAGTGGTCGTACACATTCATGGGGACACCACGAGTCTGAACTGATGGAAACTAACCGCAACCACAGATAGGATACTTTATATGAAAGGCTGTTTGTATTGGCATTCTCATCTTTGGTGTTTATAGCTTAAAACGACACTTTACACCCGGAACATGTGTGGCATAGTCTGTAGGAGGTTGCTCTCCTGAGCCAGAGGATGGATCTGTCTGGTGGTCTGAATCCACCAGCAGCCCCGTGGGAGAAAGGTGGGCAGTCTCCACTCCTGGGATTTACAGCCTCGGAAACCCAATGGAGAATCAGCTGTGAGTCTGGTCCAACTTGAATTTGAGTTTTTTGGAGCACAATCACCTAGTGCTATGTTTTTGAGTTACTGTCACTTGCTGACTTTTTGTTGTGGTTTAAAAGCATATTTTTGAAAGCTCTGTTTTGTGCCAGTCTTGAGCTACACCAGGCAGTAACTCTGCCACATGTACCCTAAATTCGCTCACAGTTTACCAGCCCAAAACTAGGAATTATAATTGCCAAATTTTTAGCTGCAAATAGATTTATATTTTGTTGTCCAAGTTTTCTATTTGTTGATGTTATGTACTGACTGTCAAGTCAGAACCAGTCCATAGCTGATTGTCCAGTGGGTTTTCAGAGGCAGTAAATTGCAAGGGAGGAGATTGCCCATCTTTCTCCCGTGGAGCGGCTGGTGGATTTGAACCATGTGCCTTTGTGTTGGCAGCACAGCTCTCAGCAGTAAGCCACCAGGGCTCCCCAGTCTTTATACTAGGGCTTGCATAGTAGTCCTTGTGGTCTTGTTAGACGGAATGGAGTTGACTATGACAGCGAGCCTCCCAGTGTTCACCAGGCTCAAGCCTGTTGGTGCTGCCCTGCTGTCATTAGAAGTACCATTAAATTGAACCAGAGTGTTAATGCATGGGTTCCTGTCAAAACGTGCATGCATGATGTTATTTTAGCATTTCTCATCCATGTTGCTGAACACATAATTCGAGACTGTCAAGAAAAATGTGGCAGCAGAATTGGAGGAAGAATCAGTAACAACTGAAGTTATGCAGGTGACACATCCTGCATGCTGAAAGCGAAGACAACTTGGAGTACTTACTGCAGAGATCAAAGACTACAGCCTTTGATATGGGTTAGATCTCAAATACCAAGAAAACAAAAAGTCTTGCCACTGGACCAATAGGCAGAGTCAGTGATAGATGGAAAAGATTTGAGTTGTTGATTTTGTTTTACTTGGATCCATGAACCACACCCGTGGTAGCAGCAGTCAAGAAACCAAAAGGTGTATTTGAAGAAATGGTGCTGTCTCGGACCTCTTCCAAACACTAAGGAGCAAGAATGTCAGTTTAATGATTAAGGTGCACCTGATTCATGTCATGGTATTTTCAGCTACTTGTTATGCATCTGATAGCTGGACAGTGAATAAGGATGCCAGAAGAGGAATCGATGCCTTTGAGTTGTGTTTGAGAAGAGTATAGACTGTCACATGGACTGATAGGTTTTGGAGAGAGTGAAACCAGGGTGCTTCTTGGAGGCAAGGATGGTGAAGCTTGGTCTCGCATATGTTGGGCATCAGGAGGAGCTAGTCCTTGAAGAAGGTGTGGGGGGGGTGGTCTTTGTCCCTTGGCAAAGATGTATTGACGCCATGACTGTAACACTGGGCTCAGGTATGTCTGAGATGGTAAAGATGGCACTAGAGGGGGCAGAGCTCATATCCACTGTTCATAGGGTTGCAGTCTGTTCAGCAGCATCCATTTGTTATGTGCTGTCAAGTCCCTTGTGACCCATAGCAACCCTGCCGTGTGCCACCCTCACTGTCTCTGACACACCTACCCTCAATACTCCAGTCACTGAGTCAATCCAGCTCATCCAGGGTCTTCCCCTCTTGCGCTGTCCCTCCACCCTCCCAAGCATGACATCTGTCTCCAAGGACTGGTCCCTCCTTGCAACATGCCCAAAGAATGTCAGAGCTTCAGAATCCCTATTACTTTAAGCATTCTCAAGCCCATTGTACTTCACCGTCGGCAGGGTTTCCCCCCTACCTGGCAGATGTCCTGTAAGGAACCCTTCACGCGCGCGTTGTTCCGCCTTTAGCCTCTTCCCATTTTCTTGGTAGTTAACTTGCTATGTTTGGAAAGTGGGTGGTGACATTTAGCAGCCTCCTAAACAGCATCACCATGCTGTTGCTGTGACCCATCCGCAGTTGTTGATACCTGGTTTCTCGATGCCTTTCTTGTCTTCTGGTCACAGTCTGGTGCCAGCACACTTTCTAACTTTCTTGTGGTTCTGGGTAATAGAGCAGTTCATTCAGTCATAGTAGTAGAGAATAGGGTATTGGTGCAGTCACAAGATGGGAGAGGGGACACTTGCCATCTCCATTTTTTAAGTGGAGGAGAAAATACTAGGCTTTAGAGAAGATCCAGATATGAACAAGCTAACAGGGTGAGAGCGGTCAGGGAAATCTAAAGTGATTGCCATGGGCAGTAAGGGCCACATGGAGCTAGTGGTGATGGTGAGGGCGCGGGGAACAGTGCCCTTCACTGAACAATGGTTCAGTGGTAGGATTTTCGCCTTCTCTGTGGGAGAAGAGTATTGAATATACCGTGGACTGCTAGGAAGACAAACAGGTTCATCCTGAAGAGGGTCAGATCAGGCTGCTCCTTGGAGGCAAGGATTCTGAGGCTTCGTCTGACATACTTTGAACATGTTGCAAGGTGGGATCAGTTCTTGGAGAGGGACGTTATGCTTGGGAGGGTAGAGGGACCGTGCAGGAGAGGAAGACCCTCAATGAGATGGATTGACTCAGTGACTGGAGTAATGGGAGTAGGTATGTCGGAGACAGTAAGGTTGTCTTAGGATAGAGCAGGGTTCAGAGCTGTTGTACATAAGGGTTGTTATGAGTCACAGGTGATTGGACAGCACATAACAGCAACAACAACAACAACAACATGCAGGAGACCAGAATTCAGTTTCCATCCACTGCCCTTCATGGGTGGCTACCACCCAGCTGTCAGTGAAGATGGGTATTTTTGTTTTGTTTTTTATTTAAATTTATTATTAATTTCAGTAAAAATTTACAGAGACTTTGGATTTCCATTCATTCATAGTTGCACTTTTCTCCCCTTCCAACCCTCCCCCCAAGTACACTACCGTCTTGGAAAAGTAAAAGAAAAATTCTTGCATTGTTTTACAAACCCTCCCCCAGGTCCACTCCACCATGTAGCCTTCGCTCTAGACTCCTGTCATGACAAAAATACCTAATCACATATCCCTTTTAAACAGTTTTCTCTCTCATCTGTTTGAATGCAGTATACATTATTGAACCCATCTTTCTCAGTTTCTCTTCAACCCCAAGGTCAGTCCTGTTTTACAACAGTGGCACCATGCAGTATTCGTCCTTTTGTAACTGAGATACTTCACTCAGCATAATGCACTGCAGGGCCACCCATTTTGAATAATATTGCATGAGTTCCTTGTTTTTCAAGATGGGTATGTTTTTAAGACAATGGACAGGTTTGAAGGAAGCTTCTGAACTTTAAGACAGATGAGGAAGAAAGGCCTGATTTTCTTCCAGAAAAATCTTCCGTGGATCACAGTGGTCTGACGGCATCGTGCCTGAGGTCACCACAGGTCAGGCTGACTTGGCACCTAGCACAATGGGAGTGTGAGAGAAACCTGTGAGCACAGCCGATTATCTTGTCGGCTCTGTTCACCTGTAGGGTTCAGGCTGGATTGGGTTTAACCAAGGCAGTGTGGTTTTGTAAGCTTGACAGCAGAAGAGTTGTGAGGAAGTTGAAGTTACACACTGAGACCCGTGAAAGCCACACGTCATCAGGATTGCTTTGCTCACCTGGATCTTTTTTTTTTTTTTTCTATAATTATATTTTATTAATTTTCATAAACATTTACAGAGATTTTGGGCTTCCACTCATTCATTGTTGCACTATTCTCTCTACCCTCCTCCCAGTTTGTTCTTGTCCAAATGCCACAGTGCTTGTCAAAGCCAGTTCTGATTAATCTTCTTTGTCAGTGTATCCTTTGCCATTCCCTATCACTCCTCCCTGAGAGAGACTTCACCCTGAGGCTCACCTGGATCTTAACCTTTTTCCACCTTTGATAAGGTGTGGGCTTGAAATTTTTCTCTCAGTCATTTTAGTGCAAAGTGTGAGTTGCTCTCCTCAGACAGATTTCAGCCTTATGCAGGTTGTGGTCTTCACAGGATTTCCGTCTATTTGAGGGGAGTTATTTACTGCCCGATTAAGCAGGAGGAGGAGGACATGTGAGTAGTAGGTGGTAGTGGTGGTGGTTATGTGCCATCAAGTTATTATGACTCAGTGCGACCCAGTGAACCTCACTCTGTCCTGAGTCAACCTCAGCATCTCCGACACACCTGACCCCATTGCCACAGTTACCATGGTAGTCCATCTTATGGACGGTCTTCCTCTCCTGTACTGTCCCTCTACCTTTCCAGGCCTGATGTCCTTCCCCAAGAACTGGTCCTTCCAGACAGCATACCCAGTGTACGTGAGATGGAGTTTCACCATCCTCCCTTCGTTTGAAGGAGAACTCCACTTTCACTTCTCTGGGACAGACTTACTTGTTCTCTCAGCAGTCCACAGTGTTATGTGATCCACCACCACAGCACAAAGGCATCAGCTCTTCTTCTGTCGTCTTTACTCATTATCCAGCTCTCAGATGTATAGCAAACACTTGAGAAGACTGTGACTTGGATCAGGCATACTTTAGTCTCTGGACTGACATTGTTGCTCTTTAACACTCTGGAGAAGTCCTTGACAGCAGATTTTCACAGTGCAACTGATTTCCTGACTGCTGGTGCCAAAGATGTTGGTTGTGGATCGGAACAAGATGAAATGATTAATTACTTCAATCCTTTATCTATCATGATGTTTCCTAGCCTGGTAGTAAAGGTTTTTGTTTTCTTGAAGTTGAGATGCAGCCCATGTTGAAGGCTGTAGTCCTTTATCTTCTGCAGTGAGCACTTGAAGAAGGCCTTGTCGCTTTGGGGGAGCACATTTGTGTCGTGTGAATAATGCAGGTCGTTGATGAGTTTTCCTCTGGTCCTCTTGCCACATTCTTCATAACATCCAGCCTCCCGGATGCTCTGTTCCACATACAGATTCGTAAAGCATGGAGAAAGGATACATCCTTGATGCATTCCTTTCTTGATGTTGAACCATGCAGTGTTCCCTTGCTCTGTTCTGGCGACAGCTTCCTGGTCTACATAGAGCCTTTGCACGAGCACAGTCAGATGTTCTGGGATTCCCATTCTTCTCAACATTAGCTGTAATTTGCCATGACTCACACAGTTAAATATCCTTGTATAGTCGACAAAACACAAGTAGACATCCTTCTGGTACTCTGTGCTTTCAGCCAAGATCTATCTTTGAGGTTGAAGAGATGGATGGGTGTTGGTTAAGGGAGAGCAGGGCACATAGAGGTATTTGGTGGAAATGGAGGCGTTTGAGATGGCATCGCAGGTGTTGGTAATGTCAGGGTTGAGGATGTGGCGCTGGGAGTGGCCGAGCTAAGGTTGAAGGGCGACATGCTCTTTGGGACCAGGGTGATTAAGAGCTGAATAGCCTGTACTTTATGGAACTTAAAAATTATGGAGAAGGCTTGTGAGGATGGGGGCCAGTGTTCTCCCCTACAGGTTTGCTGTGGGCTGGAATTGACTTGATGGGGGTGGATTTGGGGCTTTAGTGGGAACAGCAGGAGGGAACCAGGGGCTTTAGTGGGAACAGCAGGAGGGAACCAGGGGCTTTAGTGGGAACAGCAGGAGGGAACCATAGTCTTTCTTGTGTAAAGCATGAGTGGAATGGACTTCCACTAAATCTGTTCAGCTTTAAGGATTGAGTAGAGTGGCCTAGAGTCTGTGGAGGATTGCAGTTAGAGGGAGAGTGGGTAATAGGATCTGACTGCATGTAATTCAGCATAACGGATTTTGGAGATGAGAAGAAAAGTGGTCCAGAAATGGAGAGCATCGCAGGACCCTCCTCTATCTCCTGACTCAGCAGTGTGGAGCGTGGGGCCTGTGTGGAGGGTGGGGCATGAACAGCCTCCCTGTCCCCATCGGTGCCCTCAGGTGACAGGAGGATGACTCAGGGTCTCTTGCTGACATCCCACCGTGAATTTCGGAAGACACAGAGGAGAGAGGAGAGGCTTCAGAAATAAGGACAGGCAAGGTGTGGACTCAAAAGAGAAAGCACTGAATGTGGTGGAAGAGCGGCTGACCGTTGGGAGTTCTGAGTGCTCTTGGCCACTTGTGTCCCCGGACGGAAGGCCTCTGAGCTGGGAGGGAGGTCACCCTGTGGTGGTGAAGCTCTGAGTGTGGACACAGGCTGAGTAGGAAGCGTGCCTGGAGGCATGTGCAGGCCTTTTCTTCCTTTGTCCTTGCAGCTTCAGGAGGCCCAGGGGAGACACTGAAGTGAGCATTTCCTAAATGTGGGGAAGGAGCTCAGAGGGCCTGGTCTCTAGGGAGTGGTACCTCTTACCTAAAGCCAGTGCCTCTCTGGGGGTTCGAATCCACCCATGGCTCCAACGGAGAAAAAGGGGGGGGAAAATCTCCTCCCGTGCGAATTACAGCCTCCAAAACTGCACTGGAGGGAGCTATGCGTCCGTTCAGACTCAGCAGCAATGAGTTTGAGGGTTTTAAAAAAATTATTGTTGGGTTTTTTCCTTTCTTTTTTTTTTTTTGGGGTACCTTATTGCACTTGTTGGTTTTGGCTCAGCTGCTAGCAGAAAAATTAGAGGCTCAGATCTGAAAATCCACTGTTGCCGACCCTGCAGAATACATTTTGACTCCCAGGGGTCGCTAGGGATTAGATTTGAGATCCTAATGGACATGACTAGTAAGCTACACGGCTGAACATTGATCCCAAGTTGTCCCATTGCAATCCGAGTGTTATTTGATAGGTGCCCACAAGTTGATTTCGACTCGTGTCAACGTTGTGTGACTGAGTGAAAGCTTTTGTAAAGACCTGACTCTATCCCAGCTACCTTTTTAGTGTTCTTGATGTCATTTCTTCCTTTGTTGTCATCTCAGATAGCCCCCTCGCTCCTTTCAGTAATACAGGTCTTTTGGCATAACAGGAAGGAAAATATATAGAGTTAACTTAGGTCTTGTTTCACCCCTTTCCACCCCAAAACCTGTGCTCATTCAGACCCTCTTGACCTCTGATTTTTTCAGAATCACAGTTTCTTTTTTTAATTTAAATTTATTAATTTCAGTAAAAATTTACAGAGGCTTTGGATTTCCATTCATTCATTCATTGTTGCACATTTGTCCCTTTCCAAGCCTCCCCCCAGAATACTACCCTCTTGGAAAAGTAAAAGAAAATTCTTTCATTGTTTTACAAACCCTCCCCCAGGTCTGCTCCACCATGTAGCCATTGCTCTAGACTCCTGTCATGACAGAAATACCTAATCACACATCCCTTTTAAACAGTTTTCTCCCTCATCTGTTTCAGTGCAGTATACATTATTGAACCCATCTTACTCAGTCTCTCCCCAACCCCGGAGGTCAGTCCTCTTTTACAACAGTGGCACCATGCAGTATTTGTCCTTTGTGACTAGGATACTTCACTCAGCATAATGTTCTCCAGAATCAACCATTTTGAATAATATTGCATGAGTTCCTTGTTTTTCCTTGCAGCATAGTATTCCATTGTGTGAATCACAATTTCTTACATGCTGTTGCTGTTGGGTGCCATGGAGTCAAGCTTGAACAATAGATCTGAACTCTGTCCTATGCTGTGCCAGCCTCATCATCTCTGACACTTCAAGCCCATTGCTGCAGTCACTGCATCAGTCCATCTTACTGAGGCTATTCCCCTCCTTCACTGACCTTCTGTCTTTCCAAGCATGATGTCCAAGGAATAGCCGTCTCCTAGCAAGAGGCCCAAAGTACGTGAAATGAAGCTTTGCCGTTCTTGCCTCTAAGTTAGGAGTGCTCAGGTTGAACTTTCGCTAAGACATATCTGTTTATTCTTTTGAGTACTCTCTTTGCCAACACCATAGAGGCATCAATTCTTCCGCCCTCTTTTTTTTTCATTGCCTACCTCTCAGATGCATAGCAAGCTCGGCTTAGCAAGTGATTGGACAGTCTGAGGCCTGAATCAAGCACACCTTAATCTTCAAACTGACATCATTGTTCTTCAGTACTTTGAAGAAGTCCATGACAGCCGACTTGCCCAGTGCAGTATGTCTTTTCGCTGCTGGTACCAGGGGTGTTGATTGCGTACCCAAATAAGATGAAGTCATTGACGATTTCATTCTTTTCTCCATCTATTATGATGTTACTTACAGGTCCAGTGGTGAGGATCTTTGTCTTCTTAATGTTGAAATGCAGTCCATGTTGAAAGCTGCGGTGTTCGATCTTCTGCAGCAAGTGTTTCAGATCCTCTCACTCTCAGCAGGCAAGCTTGTGTCATCTGCGTAATGCATGTTCATGAATCTCTCTCCAGTCCTGATGCCACGTTTCTTCTTCATAGAGTCCAGCATATCTAATGATTTGCTCAGTGTACACACTGAATAGGTGTGGAGAAAGCTTACAACCCTGATTACGCCTTTCTTGATTTTAAATTGGTCACTGTTCCCTTGCTCTGTTCAAACAACAGCTTTTGGTCTAGATACTGGTTTCATAGGAGCATAAATAACTAAGTGTCCTGGGATTCTCATTCTTCTCAATGTTAGCCTGGTTTGTTATGATCCCTCACCCCAACCCTTGTGGTTGTTAGGTGCACTCAAATCAAATATAACTCATAGTGACCCTATGAATAATAGATAAATAGTTTCTTACATAGTAATGACTTTTTAAGATTTAACATGAAGTTTTATAGTGAGGACATAGCTTTATTATGTTTTTGAAAATTATGTTTTGGGTTTTTTTGTTTCGTTTTTTAAATTTTTTTTTTTTTATTTTATTATTTTTGTGTGCGTGTACCGTCAAATCAGATCTGACTGGTACAGGAGGAGATTGCCCCTCTTTCCCCGGCAGAGCATCTGGTGTATTCGAACCGTGCACCTCTGGGATTGTAGTTGCAGCTTCTTGCCACTAGGCCACCAGAGCTCCCCTGAAAATTATGTTTTTATTATCTATCATTCTGTTTCTTTTGTTGTAGGTTTTACTTCATCGACTTGCAAGTTTTCACCGGGTTTGGAGTTTCCCACCCAATGAAAATACAGGAAAGGAAGTGACCTGTCTGGCGTGGCGACCGGATGGCAAACGTAATGGCCATGCTATTAAAACAAACAAACAAACAAACAAACAAACAAACAAACAAACCAGTTTTCCTATTCCTAGAGAGTTGTATGTAAAGAAAGCTTATTTCCGGAAATAATTTATTGTTCCCTCTTTTATACTAGAATTTTAAAAGCTAGTTTAGGAAGGAACTTAGTTTGAGAGGGCTTAACATTTGTTTGTAAGGAGCGCAGATTAATTCTCCTGCCTCATTTTGGGGCAGAGAGAACGCAAATGAAATCTGGTGAAATAGAAAGGATGCTTTGGCTCTGTTGTTCTGTGAGGTAATCTCACCCCATGTGGCCCCGCCACCCCTCTGGTCACCATTCAGCGGTTCCCTGCCATCAGGGCGTCCTCTCACCCAACCCCTGTTACGGTTATTGTTGTTGGCTGCCATTGAGTCGAGTAGTTACGGTTATTACCCTGTGAACAACAGAGCTGAACCCCGTCCTGTCGTGTGCCGTCCTTGTCATCACTGGTGCCGTGAGCCCACTGCTGCAGGCACTGTGTCGCTCTGTCTCCCTCAGCGTCATCTTCCGACAGGCCTCCACCTTTCCAAGCATAATGTCCCTCCCAAGGAATAGCCTCTGCTAGCAACATACCCAGAGTCTGTGAGAAGAAGCTTTGTCTTCTTTGCCTCCAAGGAGCTCTCTGGCTGCAGCCTCTCTCAGACACACTGTTTATCCTCTTGGCAGTCTGGGATATTCCGTACTCTTCTCCAACACCACCTCTCAAAGGCATAGTTGACTGTTCTGTCATCACCCTTCGTTGTCCAGCTCTCGGATGCGTAACCCAGTGCAGTGTTCTTGCACCGAATGTGTAGCTGATGACGACTTACCTCTCTGAAGGCCTCTGGATGCTGGTGCTGCAGTTCATAGGGAGTTCTGCTGAAAACCCCCAGGCTACACCTCTCTTAGGGTTTGAATCCGCTGGCAGCTCAGAGAGAAACAACGGACATTCTCCTCATGTGAGGTTTTCAGCCTCTTAGTGCCTGGTAGGGTTCAGCTGTGAGTCTTGATTCCAACTTGACAGCAGTGAGTTTGAGCGTGTTTGAAAGGCTCTCGGAGCCGGCTCCAGCCCCTGCACTTCCGCTCGAGTTCTCTCCTCCTGCTGCCCTGCGCTCTGCTTCCAAGTTATGATTTTACATGACGACCCCTCTTCCACTGATAGCACATGAGTGGTCACTGCAGTGAAATGGACACTGTTCCCTGTATATCTGTGTCACTGGGGCTTTCAGGTAAAAGCTGAGTTGGTGTTTTGTTTGTTTTGATGTGAAGTCACTGCTTAACTTTTTTCAGAGACATGTGCGTAAGTGAATAAAAACGCCCTGAAAGCACATCACTTAGAGATAGCCACTGTGTCTTGTTTAGTGAACATGTTTTCCAAATATGCACGTGAAGACGTACATGTCTTAGATTTTATCAAAAGATGATCGTTTAGTGTATCGGACTATTTTTATTAATCTTAATGAGAATTTACAGAAATTTTGGATTTCCATTCATTCATTGTTGGACTTTTCTCCCTGCCCACCCCTCCCCCCCGGTTCGCTCTTCTCTTTGAAAAGTAAAACTCTTTTATTGTTATATAAACCCTCCCCACAAGTCCACTTCACTATGCAGCTTTCGTTCTGAACTCCTGTCATGACAATAATAACTAATCACATATCCCTTTTAAACAGTTTTCTTCCTCATCTGTTTCATTGCAGTATATATTATTTATCCCGTCTTTCTCAGTCTCCCCCCAACCCCAATGTCAGTCCTGTTTTGCATATGTTATTTATCCCATCTCTCAGTCTCCCCCCCAACCCAAATGTCAGTCCTGTTTTGCAACAGTGGCACTACGCTATATTTGTTCTTTTGTGACTGAGATATTTCATTCATCCTGTGTCCTCCAGGGTCACCCGTTTTGAATAATATTGTATGAGTTCCTTGTTTTTCAATGCAGCGTAGTATTTCTTTGTGTGAATATACCACAACTTCTCTATCTATTCGTTTGTTGATGGTTATTTAAAACAATTTTATAAAGTTTATTTTAATATATAGTAGTGTTGGAATCAGTCAGTGTCCATTTCTGGAAGTTTCTTGTCAGAATTTGAAGGCACAGCTGTGTCTGCCCTCCCTCACGGCTTGAGCATCGTCCTGTTGGTAAGGGACGTTTTTGTTGTTGTCCATCTTTTTCATGTCAGTCTGTGTATATATACAACATTAATGCATGGTCTCATCTCATACAAACTCAGCTACTGCGTTTGGAGGCTGTAAATCGCACTGGAGGAGATTGGTCTTCTTTCTCGTAAGGACCTCCTGGTAGGTTTGAATTGGCAAAGAGGTGTGTGTTAGCAGTACGACCCCCTGTGAATGAGGCCACCAGAACTCCCTTCATGTCTTTGTTGTTACATACCCTCAAGTCTGAATCTACTCATAGTTGATCCTGCTGCAGGTGTTCAGAGGCATTTAGTTGCACAAGACAAGATGGCCCATCTTTCTCCGTTGGAGCGTCTGGTGGTTTCATACTGTGCTTTTGGGTTGATGTTGCAACTCCTTAACACGAAGCCACTAGAGTATAGTCACCCATGGTATTTATATATTGTAATTTAAATATTTAAGGATACTTTGGGTAGAATGTTAAATGATCCAGGAAGTATCAAGAGAAGATGGAAGGAGTACACAGAGTCGTTGTATCAGAAGGAATTGGCTGACACAGAAGAATTTCATGAAATGACATATGAGTAAGAGCCTGTGGTGATGAAAGAGGAAGTTCAGATTGCTGTGAGGGAATTGGCAAAAAACGAAGCTCCAGGAGTTGACGGCATACCTATTGACATATTTCAACAAACAGACACTGGCCTGGATGTGCTCACTAAGTTGTGCCAAGAAATCTGGAGAACAGCTAGCTGGCGTACTGACTAGAAAAGATCGATATTTGTTCCCATTCCAAAGAAAGATGACCCAACAGAGTGCGGAAATTATCGACCAATATCATTAATATCACATGCAAGCAAGATTCTGCTGAAAATGATCCAAAAATGTTTGGAACAATGTGTCAGCAGAGAACTGCCAGATATGCAGGCTGGATTTAGAAGAGGTCATGGTACTAGGGATATTATAGTTAATGCCAGATGGATCTTGGCAGAAAGCAAAGAATACCAGAAGAATGTCTGTCTGTGCTTCATTAACTATACAAAGGCTTTTGACTGTGTGGATCAAAACAAGCTGAACTCTGAGAAGAATGGGAATTCCAGAACATTTGATTGTGCTAATGCGAAGCCTATACCTGGACCAAGAGGCAGTCATCAGAACAGAGCAAGGAGACACTACATGGTTCAAAATCAAGAAGAGGGTTCGTCAGGGATGTATTCTGTCTCCATACCTTTTCAATCTGTATGCAGAACAGATCATCCAAGATGCTGGGCTATACAAAGAGGAATGTGGCATCAGGATTGGTGGAAGAATCATCAACAACCTGCGTTTTGCAGATGACACAACCCTGCTTGCTGAAACTGAGGAGGACCTGAAGCGCTTGCTGCAGATCAAGGACTACAGCCTCCTATATGGAATGAAGCGCAACATCAAGAAAAGAAAGATTCTTACCACTGGGCCAATTGGCAGCATCAGTATGGATGGTGAAGAGATTGAGATAGTTAACAGTTTTAGTTTACTTGGCTCCACAGTCAGCACTCTTGGTAACAGCAGCCAGGAAATCAAGAGACAAATTGCATTGGGAAAATCGGCTGTGAGGGACCTCTCAAGAGTAATGAAGAGCAACAACGTCAGACTGGAGACTAAGGTGCGCCCGATCCAGGCTATAGTCTTTGCAGTTACGTGCTATGCATCAGAGAGTTGGACAGTGAATAGGGTTGATATAGAATTGATGCTTTTGAGCTGTGGTGCTGGAGAAGAGTGTTGAATATACCATGGACTGCTAGGAGAACAAACAGGTTTGTCCTGGAGAGGGTGAAGCTGGGGCTCTTTGGAGTCAAGGATTCTGAAGCTTCGTCTGACATATTTTGGGCAAGTTGCAAGGAAGGACTGGTCCTTGGAGAGGAACATCGTGTTTGGCAGAGTGGAGGGGTGGCGAAGAAGAGGAAGACCTTCGATGAGATGGATGGATTCTGTGACTGGAGCGGTGAGAATAAGTGTGTTTGAGATGGCTAAGTTGGCACAGGATAGAAGAGCATTTAGAGCTCTTGTACATAGGGTCGCTATGAGTCACAAGTGACTCGATGGCACATAACAGAAACAACAATGTAAATAAGGTTTGCCTGGTCCAGGCCATGGTCTTCACAGTTACATCCTATGCATCAGAAAGCTGGACAGTGAAGGAGTAAGGGCAACAGAAACATTATTGATGCCTTTGAGCTGTGCTGGAGAAGAAAACTGAACATAACAAAGACCACTAGGACAACACATAGGTCTGTCTTGGAGAGGGTGAAACCAAATTTCTCCTTGAAGGTTAGGATTTTGACGCTCTGTCTCACTTACTTTGGGCACATGGCTAGGAGGGACCAGTCTTTGGAGAAGGACGTCATGCTTAACAGGGTGGAGGGACAGCGTGGAGGAGAGGAAGACCCCAGATGGTTTGACACAGTAACTGGGGTGATGGGTTTAGGTGGGTTGGAGTCAGTGGGACTAGCTCAGGACAGGGCAGGCCTCTGAACTGTTGTACATAGGGTCACTATGAGTCATAGGCGACTCGACAGCACATAACAAAGTCAAAACACTCATCTGTCAGTTTGTCCTGGTGACTTTTGAGTCACTTTGATGCTTAGAAGCTTTGCCACTGGCTTTTCAGATGAGTTTGGGCGCATTCAGGTGGTTTGGCCATAGACACAACTGGTATTTCAAATGCCAGCAGGGTCACCCATGGTGGATAGCTTTCAGTGGAACTTCCAGACTAAAAGAACTACAGAAAAAGAGCTGGTGACAGGCCAGCGGAAATTCAGTCAGATAGTCGTGCTTGAGGATGAGCCCTCCTGGTAGGAAGGTGCTCA